CGAGTGCCTTGGTGAACTCAGCCCAAAAGCCGACTGCTGGTAGCACTGAATGTGCATGTTGCATTTCACACGCAAAGAAAACACAGGTATTCAGCTAGTATAGAGGTAGAGTTGCAGATGAACATTATTTGATGTCTTTATTTCTTGAAATTACGATCATCAAAGAGATGGTTTGTTTTTTCATGGTATTCTTAGACATGTGTTTCTAAGTACTCATGATTGCTAAACAACAGATAGAGGAGGTATTTGGTTTGGACTGAGCTCTCACCCAAGGTCCAAACAGGCCACACCAAGAGGGAGTCACTCATGATGGGGTTCCATGTCATCACACCAAACCTGAGTTGTTTGGCTTTCTAAGAAACACAATCACAAAATCCCCCCACAGGTCTGTTTGGGAAGCGCCCTACTGTAGTACTTACAAGACTAGAAACTTGACCCAACCTGATACGGATTAGCCGAACTGCTTTATGTTTTATGTTGTTTCTTTGTTGCTTCTCAAGCCACTTTGTAAAAACCAGCTGCCCTCATACCCAGCACAGCACCTATTTTTAGATGAGACACTACCTGATTCATGAATTACAAAGAAAAGTGAATTATCTAATTGAACTAAATGTAATGTGATTGTGACTTTTGATGAGATCATGCTGTGAAAAAGAAGTATAGTCCCAGATGATCTACAGATTTTAGTAATAAATGTGTGTATTTAATAGTTATTATTTGAGGACAGTCCCTGTATTTACTCTGCTCTAAGTCCTTTGACCTTGAAAATAAAATCATCCTATTGAAAATAATTTAATCAACACATAAGCAGAAGAACTTGGAAATAAATTTCTTCCTACAATTCATGAAACATTTCTCTTTGCTATTAAGCTTATGAAATTTGCATAAAAATCAATTGTGGCATCTGGGAGGTGACTTTGAATATGTTTTCACTAAATAATTCTAAATGAGCACCTCTGCATAATTCACAGATATTATCCTCATCACAATGTATATGTCACTTTTAAAAATAACATTGCTCTCAATTCTGCAAACAAAATTATTTTATTTTTTTAGGTAAGGATAACATCTTCAAATTTTAATGAACTTTTCCACACAAATATTGTAGGATGATGACATTTGGTGCAAGAATTGTTCCATTATCAGCCCCAAGATAGGATAAACTAGTCATCTGTAACCACCATATGTGTGCTTACAACAAGCACACTTTGGACCACTGCTTCTCCACTGGATGCACGTGGATTAAATGCCTGTAGACACGTGGCTTGAATGTGTAATGGCACTCTGAATGATGGTCACATCAGACAGAGTGTTTTTGAAGAACTTAATCTTTGTTAAATGTCAAGCTGCCTTCTCATATGTTTAGCAGGTGTGTTCCTGCTCTGTACAATATTGAAGTGGTTAAAATAAAAGGAGCAAGAGTAGGATTGCCACCTCAAAGAGCCTGTCAGGGTCGCCGTTGCTTGCAGGAAGTATTATCAGTATGTGTTCAGTTATCAACTTTGACCTTAATCTAACAGCAGTGGCAAAGCTGACAGATATCCGAAACAAGCAATCACTTGACATATTGGAAGCATTTTGATTTGACAGACAGGAACAAAAAAACATTTTCTTTAATAATGTGAGCTGTCAGCACACACAGACCTGCACTGACGCCTGGGGATTCATCCTCCATTCTGGACGGTGTAGGGCAGACTGGCTGAGATCTGGAGGAAGCTCTATTTTCTAAGCCAGCTCCTCAGATTTAAATAATAAAACTGGTCTATTTGCAAAGAAGAAATAAAAACTGCTGTTATAAAATGCTAAGCCAGATGTTGACTAGCGGGTTCCTGATATCGCACACATGCTGAGTGAGTCAGGGTAAAGCCGCCAGGGAGCTGGGCGTGTCCAGGGAAAGAGGGGATGGTCGACCCTAATTGAAGGGGTTAGTCTTCCCACCCTTCCTGGTCTCATGGGATTGCCGACCCCACAGAGAAAATGCAGTTGCCGAGGGAGACAGCCCGGCCCTGTGTCAAAGACAGTGGCCATAAAGGAGCAGTGTGTAATCGCCTAAACATTCCCTTGGTGGTGAAGAAAGTGCAGAATTGTCTAACATTGACAGTGGATGTCTTGAAAGCAGGAAATGATATCTGAGTTTCACTGTGAGGAACTAGAAAAGAAAATTTCTGACTGAGCAAGATTTTCCATTGTGAAGAAATATCATCAGCTACTTAATGAGAAGGAACAGAAGACACATATTTCAGTAGACCTTAAATCTTTTACAGTTCATTGTCTGAGCCTTTATAACCAATTGTCTGAGTTTTCATTACAGAATGAATGTTCAGTTGCTGCCCGATTGCACAAGATCATGATTTAAAGGGCCCTCCTCATATCCATACACACAGCTAAATACTGGATAAAATGCACCCCCTTTGATAAGCAGAAATGATCTGCTCCCCACTGTGCAGAAAAGAGCCTTTCCTCTATTAACTGACCGCAGTGATCATGGAGCCCATCTCACAGTGTACGGGCAGGTGCCTGGTCTGCTTATTTGTCCACGTTTTTATCTTAATCATGCATTAGTGAGTCACACGGTGAGTACGCTCATGTACCTGAAAGTACCCTGGATATATCTGAAAGTGATTAAGGTATATCTTATTGCTTATTAATCATAAAAAATACAGCTTTGCGCAGACAGAAGCTCAAAGAGTAGACTCAAAATCCAAAGATAGCCCTGTTCAGAACCAGAGAAGCAAAACTGCTTAAGTCACTCCAGGTATCAAAATATAGAAAAGCGACCAAACATATATAATAGGAAGCTCTAAAGTAAATACTCTCATATCCTTCAGGCAAAAAAGGTTCCTTAAGAATATAAAAACTGACAGTATATGTATCATACATAAAATATCACCATTAGTCTGAAATCACGTGACAACTTGGGGAAGTGGGAGGGAGCCTGGGGCGCAGACAGCAAGGAAGCACAAAGCCAGTTTCTGGAGAATGAGCAACACCCCAGTGAGAGCACAGAACCCCATGAGCAGTCCCGCTAAGCACATTGCCTGGTGCAACTCTGCAGAAGAAGCATTCAGGGGCCGGGATGTAGCTTAGTGGTGCTGCTGCCTGTCTCACAACTGCAAGGTCCTGAGTTTGATCCCCTAGTACCAAAAAAAAAAAAAAAAGTATTCAGGTTCCCTTATGGCTAAAAGAAGGCAACTAAAAATAACAATAAACTACAAAACTAGCAATTACTCATGAGAAGGACTTGGCCAGCACTGAGAGAACCAGTAGAATCTCCTACACTGCTAGTGGCTTTCAGTGTTTGTCAGTTTTCCACAGGTTATGTGGCAATATGTAAAACAGTAAAATTTATGAGGCTTTGAAGAAATTCACCTCCTGAAGTAGTTTACTAAATCTTGGCATGTCCAGACTGTTCAGTAATTGGAATTATGGGAAATATGAGTAACATCATAATAGTTTTACTATAATAATAGTTGTTTAGCTCTGGAAATGATTTTTATTTTATATTTTCTTTCTCCTACTATAAATTTAATTTAAGAAAACAATCTGGATTCTGAACAAAGACCTACCTATGAAAATATTTATTTCTACATTTTTCTGATCTGTAACAATCTCACAGCTCTCATCTTCATGACTGGGTGATGTTGTATGATGCACTGACATCATGTAGCACAGGAGAAAGATGTAGTCGCTTTCTTACAGCACATCACCAGTGTAAAGCCCACTCACATATTTGTGCACACAGAGTCACATTCAAATATGCATCAGAAGGAGAAAGACGTTGGGGAAACAGCACAATTTCAGGTGGGGTACTTGTGAGCAGCATGACTTGGTCTTAGTTTTTAAACATTTTCTCTCTACTTTTAAGTATTTTCTACCATTTATAAATAAAGCTGTTACCCTCCCAAATGTGTCCGGGAAGTTGTTTTTAATAGTACTTGATATATCTTGCATCTCTTTGTCCCCCAAGTCTCATATAGAGACTTAAGTGGAGTTTTCAGCGGTGGCTGGATCCAGATTGTGTGATACTGAGATTAAGGGTGCCTGATAGCTGCTGGTTGAGCAATTGTGTCAATTGAGAAGTTTGGCTAAGAGAAGCTCAGCAAAATGGGCTCAGAAATGCCCCACCCTGGGCTCCTCTCCTGGATGTTATAACGGGGAAATAAGAAAGGACACAACTGCTTCTTCTCCTTTGGAGGAGCTCTCCCATCTTTGCCTTGGACTTCATCTCCTGCCTGCCAGCATAGACTCTTCAGCTTTCAGCACAGACCCATCAGCCTCCTGATATGGACTCACACGGGAAACTGCAATGAGCTCCAGACCTTTGACTGAACCCTTAGGTCTCCAGTGGGCAGAAGGACCCTCTGTAGTTCTCCTCATTTGACTCTGTAGGCTGTCATTGTAAGCCAATCTTGTAAATTCTCATATATATTAAGTATCTTGTGTTATATCTGTTTCTCTAGTAAATACTGGCTGATACAATAACTAAATTGTTTTAGCATTGTTCTGGTTGTGGGTAATAGGAGGCCCCACCCTGGGTGTGGGTGGCACCAATCAATAGGCTTGTACCCTGGATGGACTGTAAAGGGACAGAAAGAAGGCCGCTGCTTCTGCTGCTTTGCTGCCTCCTGCCTGCTCTGCCATGGACTGTTTTTCCTATGTGATGTCCCTCTGCCAAGCCATCCTGGCTCGAAGCCAGCCAACTACAGATGAAAGCTCTACAAAGTGCAAGCTACAGTAAAACTTTCCTCCTTTAACTGGTATTTTGTCTCAATGATGAGAAAAGAAATTAAGACAATATTTTGTTATTACATGTATTACAAGGTTAATTTTTAAAAAGCTGTATTTTTTGGTATAATATGATTAGGTTTTATGCAAACAGGTTAATTTCTTATTAATATTTAATTTTCACATATTCTTAATCTATCATGAGGAAGACATGATATTAAACTCATGATTTTCTAAATTACTTCAGCACAATAAAAATTCAACACAAATAGCCCTTTTATTATCTGAAATCCATATAGTATTTCACTATAACATTTATTTCAAAGTAGAAATGCAAGAAATTTTGTGATGTTATGTAAACATTGCCAGATACTGGTTTCTAGAGTCACAAGATGAGAAATCTTTCTGCATGATGTCTAATTATTTATTCATTATTACAGGAAGATCATCACTTGGTTCCTTGACACTTGGAATTATCGATTGTATTGGACTGTCCACTGTGTATTCACAACCTTTCAGAGATACACTGAAAATGTAAAGCAGTAAAAACCAAACAAGATATGATTTCCAACAGTGCTGTCTGATCATTTAAATAGAAAAAGAGGCAATAAATTTAAAACAAAATGAAGTCTCATTAGTCATAACAACACATGGTAACTGGCCTGCTTGAGTTCATTGTGGCTCTGCAAGGGAAATTGTTATGGAGGAAGATATAATCTTAACATAACCACGAGAGATTGAGGGGAAAACAGCATTCTTGTGTCACTGGACAGACTAGGTTGCCATGTTGGAAACTCTTGTAATACTCATTAGATAGCCCAGGAGTATTCAATCTATTTGACTTAGGACAGTAATTGCATATAACTTCATTTGTGATAGCAAAAATAAACTCTTTTTTTGATATATTGGAATAAGAAATCAATAATAGTCAACTAAATACACTGGTACCTCATATTTAATTTGTTCCACAATTTTGGGGAAGATGGCCATGGTTGTGTTCATCACCCAGTGTGGAGTTCATAAGTGGAAGCACAATTTTGCTGAATGCTTCTGCTTACGAACTGAATTGCTAGTGAACAGAAGCTTTAGTGAACTGAGGATTGCATTACATAGGTCACTTTTTCTTTGCCATTATTTCTTGAGCAATGGTGATCTTTTTTTCTGCATCATCTTCTTTTCTAAATAAATACATGCCAATTAGAATATATATTTGTATAAAACAAGTAATAACATACAAATAGGAGGTCCTTTCTAATACTTGAATTTTGAAAAAGAAATATTTTTACATGCAATGCATTTAGGCTTTTAATACTTATGTGCATATCTTAGTTACTTTTCTCATTGCTGAGAGAAAATACCTGGCATCCAAAGTTAAACAGGAAAGGTTTATTTAGCTCACAGTGTGTAGAGGTTTCAGTTCAGAGTTGGCTGGCTCCAAGGCAGAGTGGCAGAGCAGAGGGCATCAAAGAGGAGAAACAGCTTATGGTAGGCAGGAGGCAGCAAAAGCAGAAGGCAGCAAGTGAACAATAGCAGTTCTCCTTCTGTCCCTTCTATAGGACCCAGGCAACACGCCCTTGGGACGGGAAGCACTTACACCCAGGGTGGGCCTTCTGTGAACTGTGGAGAGCTCATCAGTGGACTAATTCAGTAATCATACACCCCTGATCCAGCACCACACACTCTAGATTCAGCCCCCTCTGAATAGTCCCATTGGCCCACCTATGACTGCACGAGGCTTGGGGGGACATCTAGACACAAGCCATAACAGTATATTTTAGTTAAAATAAGCAGTTAATAAATCCTGAAGGCTTCTCTTAAAAAATGTTATCAAAGTTGGCAAATATCATTCTTCCTCTCTTTCCTTTAGTGTATATATGAAAAATGCATTGGTTCAGTAGAGGAGAACTACCTAAAACACTGACATGGAAAGTGTGATTTCACGTGGGTTTCCTTGGACCCTGACCTGGGCATTAATGAAGGAGAGGTCCAAGCACACAGGGCACACGCACGTGCAAGGGTGGGACAGACCTGGGAGGGGCACAGATCACAGTCAGCTCACTGTGTGACAGTGCCTACACCCTGGCCCAGCTCTCTGAGAGTCAGCTGAGACCTCTTCATGTTCGGGAGCTGGACACTGGTTGGTGGAAATGCTGCCGGACAGGTGGTCCATATCTCCTGATAGCCACGGTCTTGGGGTCCAGAACAGTAGCTGAGCAGGACACAGAGCTGGAGAGAAAGGCGGAGATCTATGAAAGGGGAAGTTGGCTGCACAGAGCAGGGGTGAGCACAGGAGAACTCGGAGTGGGTTTGTCTCTGGGAGGCCTTGTCCCTTTCAGGGTGGATGCGCAGTGCCGCTGAGAGTCCCGCTGCTCAGGCTAGCGTCCTCAGGACTGCAGGTCAGGTGCATAGAGTCGGAGGCGGAAATGCTGTGAGACCCAGGCGTGCCTCTCTTCTGCATGCCTCACATTTGCATTTGCGGGTGGTCAGCCTGGTGGCTCACTGGGATCCCTCCAGTTAATGGGGTCACTGCCCTCAGCTGGGAGGGGGAGTTTCTCTCCCAGGGCCCAACATACACTGTGCAGCCCACCAGGCAGGGTGAAGAGCTTGGGCTGCTGAGGCTGGGGTCCAGGGCTCCTGCAGGCCGCTTTGGCTGCCCCGTGAAGGGAGTGTGACAGCAGGACGCCTGCTGGTGTGAGCCTGGGCCTCAGCCTGTGACAACGCCCTGCACCGGGAAGAGGCAGATTTCACAATGGTTTTACTGAGGTCACTGGGTAATCTACAGGGGACATATTCTAGTTCAGTGCCTGATAGACTCCAGGTGGGCTTTATTAACTTTAGAAAGTACTGCTGGTGTAAAGGAAAAGAGTCCATGCTTGCATATTTATTCCATGATGAATCACCTGGATATATTTTCAAGTTCTATTATTTTCATTTTTTTGATATTTGGTTATGCAATTGTACCACACACAAATAGTAACAGATCTGTTCACCTTTATTCAGTAAATGTACCTCTCACTTTTTGTTGTTGTATTGCTTTGCTAAAACAGCTAGAAAATCTCTTCAAAGGTCAGTGATGTTTTTTCCTTTCCTTTGGGTGAACTTGTTGGGAGCTCCCGAGGCTAAGCGTGAAGAGAACTGTGATTCAGAGGGAGTGTGATACAGCTAAAGGAGACCCACTTTCAATTACGGGAGAGAGGTGTACTTTGGTCAGAAATTGATTCGGGGTCTTATTTATATATCAAATTTAAGTATGCCTTATTCTACTCTACATAATGCTTTTATTTTTATTTCTAATTTCCAAATAATAATTGGAAAAGAACTCAGGCCTTGCTAGATGTAACAGGAGAAAGTGATGTCACTTACAAAGCCACTACAAACAAATGAAACAATACTGTGCAGACTTCAATTATGCTGTAAGAGCTGTCCATAAACACGACTCCCTAAGTATGGGCGTTGATACTCACGATGCCTCATCCACTGCTACTTAACCATTTACTGTGGACATATCATCTCACAAATAAACTGGAGACATTCTCCGTCATTGAGAATATTGGGTAGTTTTGAACCCCGCAATTTAGAAGTTCACTTTTCAAATGGTTGGCTGGGTTTCTGTCTGAGTCCCTATTTCTCCCCTACACACACGCACACACACATGCACGCACACACAAAGTCCTTCAGGGTCTGGGAGAGCTCACAAGGGTGCACAACTGCTGAGCCCACAATGGCCAGGTGGTGAAGGGTGGAGGAGGCAGAGGTTAGGAGTCATTACCCACCCAGGATTAGGGAAAAAGGTAAAAGAAAGAAGGACATTTATGCGTGGCTGGGACAAATGTGTGGGCTTAATAATGATAAAAATAATTAACTAGCCTGATGCCTGGAATAACCATCACAACCTACAGACATCTGAAAAAGCATAGGGTTACTTCTAAAATGATGTCTGCAATCTCACTACTAGGTCGTCCAATGAAAAATACTGGCATTGTCAAATATTTTAAATTTAGCTTCTTTGGGTTCAAAATACAAGAAAGAGGAATACAAAATTAAGTAAGTAGTTTACAAAACAGAATATATTCATTACAGCTGTTCACAATATGAAACGAATAATGTATCTTTAAAAATTCAGAAGATTGATAGTGGGGGAGAAAGAGGGTAAACATTCTTACTGACTCTTCCTAAAATCCATTGGGTCCTAGTATTAAATATGTTTGCTGATAATGAAAAAATTATAAGAATATTAAGGAATAAAATTAATGGAAAAGGAGCAGGACTGCTGAATAAAAACTAATTGTATGATGTCATCAAACAAAAAGGAAGAAACAGAAAAACTCAATAGCTTATGATAATATAAAGAGAAGAAAAATTAAAGGTATGCAAAGGGAGAGAAATGCGAACATTTATTATGTAAAGCTTTCCCTTTGCGCTGACTGCTTTCTGGTGGATTCTGGGGCTTCAGGCTGAAAGGGTGAAGCAGAGAACAGAACCCGCAGTGTGGAGAAGGGGACAGGCCTGCTGCCCCGCAGAGCCCCCGCAGGTGTGGCGAGCAGCAGCGTCAGGTAGGCCGAGCACCGAGGGAGGCGATGGTGCGGAGCCCGGGGAGGGAGCTGCTGGTAGTCAGGTGGGGGCAGGGTGCTGGCCTGGGGTCCCTGGCGTGTGGGGCCGGGAGGAGGCCTGGGGCTGAGGTGGAGCAGGCAGTGGGACTGAGGGGAAGGAGGTCGGACAGGAGCTCAAGGGCCAGCACTTCCGGAGGCTCAGGGCCTCTGCCTACCTGGGCTGCAGAATCACCTGGCGAGCTGGACGCTGGAGGTGCTTGGTCTCACTTCCGGACGGGCTTCGCGTTGAGTTATCATACAGTTCCTCCATGGCTGCGATTTGCAGCCAGGTAGGAGCCATGGCTTTAGAGGCAGGGAAGTGAGGGAGGGGAATAGAGGACCTGAAGCAAAGTGAGAGGACAGCAGCCCGAAGGGGTGGTCCTGACGTTCCAGAGAGGACAGTGATTGGAAAGTGGGGATCCGCTGCTACCCGGCTGCCTCTCTGGGTCCGGCGAGATGGAAGGGGGTCCAGCCTGCGATGAGGCCGCTCCTGCTCCTAGGCTGCTGGAAAGCGCTCTCTCTTCAGGGCTAAGAACAGTCCTGCTGGTGCCAGGAAGCGCCCTGCTCAGTCTGAGAACTGCCCAGTGCAAGGGAGGCCGAAAGCTTGTGAACTGTCCTGCAGATGAGGAAGTAAATTTCCCCGAGAAATAATGTTTTCCAATAGAAAGAATTTAGCAGAAATCGCTGGTATTAAATGAGTTAATAATTGTAATGCACTTTAGAATATTTGCTGATTTATAGTAAATATTATGTAACTGCTTGTTGAATAAATAAATGACTCAAGAGCATGTTTGAGGAAGGGAAATTTCCAAGGGCAAAATTATTGTGTAGCTGGGCTCAAAGTCAAGGCACTGGCCTCAGATGGAGACTGGCAAATTCCCTGACTTAATAGATTGTTAGTTACATTAGTAGCTCTGCTGAACATACTTCCTTCAGAATTTTTAAATGTAAGTTAGACAAAGCCTTGAGTGAAACACACGTTAAGTGCAGGAGCATGGAACCTACAGCCTCAGCAGTGTAGTGAAAGCCTGTCCCAAACTGCAGAAAGAGAGCCTGGGTAGCTCAGCGCTAGACACTTGTTAGCGTGCCCAAGACCCCGGCTCCACCTCCGGCACTGAAAAGGCAGGCCTGTATCATTTTCATAGTTGTGCTTGACATTTTGCGCTATATGGAAGTACTAGACACTGTCCTAGAGAACATCATGGAAAAGTGACAAGTATATTCATGAATTTATGGTCAGCAACTCCAGAGCCCCCCACCACTCCCTGGCAGCTCTGTGATTTTCACTGCATAGCTTCCTTCACTCCTTCAGAGGCCTGAAGCTGCTCCTCACAGTCTGCTTTCTCTAGCATGCAGCAGCAGGCCGCCCCCCTCTTAAAAACAGACAAATGCAGCCTCCAGATGGAATTTTTGGCCAGTGTACTTGCAAATCGGTGTCCCTCTGCACTTCTCCCCTCTTGTTTCTTCGCACAGAGAGATATATCTCCTTCAAATAAAGCTCAATCACTGGACAGCTTCTGTGTCATCAGAAGCCTTTCATCACCCATTGTCAACTCTCACCTGCGGTGCTCAGTAAACTTCTTCTGGTTGAACTGGTCTCACAGCATTTAGTCCCTCCAGCTCTTTCATCTCCGCAGCCATCCTTCCTGACTTCCGCAGATTCTATGGTAGCATACTGTTTTCCTGCTCAGCCCTGCCAGTCCTTTTCGGTATTTTCTCAAGCTTCTCCTTTTCTTCTGTAGCCTCACATACCAGGATCCCAGCACTCAGTTGTGGTCTGTCTCCTTGTATTCTGTATCTCCCTAGAAAAGTTCATGTCTATTCACAGCTTCATCATTATCTCAAGATTCAGCATCAGAGCCTAAACATTTGCACTTGTAGCTCCGAGGGTCACCTGTCCCCTCCGGACACTTATGCTGCCCAAAGCTACTACTCCCACTTCTCTCTCTCTCAGGAGCTAAAGAGGGTTTTTACATTCTGAAATCACTTAGTGACATAACAAATGAATGACTGACAGAATAGGAGAATATGCAGTAGCACCCTTTGATCTGCACAGCCCAGCTCTGACTGCCCGCCCATTTACACACTCTGCTGACCCCTGTTTAGATGACTCAAGGTCTCCTAAAAGGAGCGTGCTCAGTGTGAACTTGTAGCCTGGCTCCTCCACCTCTCTACACCTCACACTCTCAGTGAATGACATCAGGATTCATTTATGGTCATGGTAAATCTAATGTGTGGTGCTTATGCACAGACACCTCACCCTGGGTTACACGCTATATGCAATCCGCTGTCATGTTTTAAGCGCTAGGTAAAGCTCCGATCCACCTGTCGGTATTTATTTCAGTGTTGTCTCCTGGCTCCACCTCCCTCACCTTACATCTGAAGGCACTTTGAAAGCCCCAGCCTTCTCAGGGCCTGTCTGCTCGGATGCTGTTTGGAGGACCACCTTTCTCAGTAAGCTGCAGGTAATCCGAAGGGCCCCCACTGACACCCTGCAGTGAGCCCAGGCTCCCCAGAGCACCAGTGTGTGTGGCCCTCCCAGGTTGTGTGTGAACCAGCCACACGGACACCATGGTCCTCCCCTTACTTGGCTGAGCTCCCCGAGTGCGCGTTCCTCAGCTTATGACCTCTCTCCAAAGGCAGGACATGTCTATGTTGATTCCTGTGTTGCCAACCTCATACCAGTGACGTCCTTCTTAGGGTGTTAAATTTACTCACCACTCATCATTGTGCCTAAGTATTGCTTGTCTGGGAAGACAGTCTGTCTCAGCACCCCTCTAAGTCAGGTGCCCTTATAATGTGCCCTCCAGCAGTATTCTGGATGTGCTGCCCAAGTAACGTGTCCTCATCCTTGAAGGTCATTGGAGATCCATCTGCTTGCTTTTGGGCTTCCTGAACATAGCTCTGTACCTGGTAACCATAGCTCTGAAGATAACCTTGTCACCAAGGAATGGATTGAGACTTTAGAAAAGTTTATTACATATCAATGGAGAAATGATACAGTAATTGGATAGATGGTTATGTGTCATGGATTAATAATTGCTTTTAAAAGTAAGTATTGACCTTATACCATTAATTGAAATACATCCAGGAAGATGAGATGTTTCAGATGAAATAAAATACTCAGTGTATTTATGGTTGATATTCTAAACATGATCCCAGAGACTTCAAAATCTAAAGGAAATAATGAAGACATATATCTGCAGTAAAACATTTAAGCAAGGCATATGCGTCCACACCCAGACCTTCTGCACGGAACGGATGAAATCAATGTTAAAAATGAAAACTGCTATTATAGAGTATATTACTAATTTTCAAATATCCAGAACTCACTTCATTGCCTTGGTATGGGCATTGCAGGTTAAATCCTAGAAACATGTATATTGATATGTTTACCAACTTAACATTCATTTATGCTAAATTTAACAGTAAATTGCCAAGTATTAATTTAGACTGGTTAGTGATAGTGGGCACGAGGGTGGAGAGGATTTTAGAAGCTACTTTCTCAGCAACCTCTATAATGCATTATCACCTGCCAGAGAAAGCCTGAGCTGCACACAGAACAGAAAAATTCACTCCAATGGATAATATTGCACGAAGAGTCCTTAAATAATAGAATGCTTTGAGAAACTCACCCTATGGGACGGGCTTGTGCTATTTCTCAAGAGTCCTTTCTTTTCCTACAAAGAAATGGTCCTACCCTCTGAGCCTTCAATCATTAAATTTTATATGTTCTGTACCTTAAAGTCACTAAAGAAGTTCCTTCCCCCATGCTTGTGTATAAATAATTCTGGACAGATTGGCTGAAACGTGAAGGTTCCAGTCTTTCCTTTAAACAATTTCTATGCATTGACTCTCAGCACTTTGTAGGTGTATAGAGGTACATGATAACTTGGATTTGAAATCATGATACTATGAGAATGGTGAAATACTCTGCTTTTCCATGCCTATGAAGAGGTTAAGATAGGTTTCTGATGATAGCCTTTTGTTTTCTAACAGTCATATTTTTTAGTATTCACAGGCACTGAAATTTATTTGTTTTTCAAGGACCTAGTTTTGAAATTTAATTATCATTACATTTATTTTTTAGCTTTTAGTTTTTCTATATTTTTAAGTCAAAGCAACACTGAACATAGCAATAAATACCATAGGGAAATTCATAAGCATTGAAATAAATGTCATGTGCTTTATTTATGTAATTTTAGATTATATTTGAACTTTGGACTTGTGTTACAGCCTTCCACTTATCTGTGATTATTTGGGAAAACATAATCTCTCTTGAATGCAGTCTATATATTGTTTACCTGATGATGTTTAAAAAATATGATATAGAAATCAAAACCTATCCTCACTTCATTAAGTTTATAACTTAACTGCTAACATGAAAATGAGGGAATTGAATATATTATTCCAGAGAAATGGATGGACAAAAATATCCGGTTCAGAACAAAATTATGAAGCATATTAGAAAAGAAGGTTATTCAGTAGTTCAAGAGGAAAGGCTCCACTTACCTTAAAAAATTTCATGACTCCTTGAAACAACAGTAAAAAAACCTAAGAATTATATTCTAATTGCTATGAAAATCATAGATGAGGAAATGGCTCCTCAGGCCGCACACTGCTCAGTAGTGGCATTGCAATGGTTTCCTGCTGGTGTGAATTCAAAGCACAGCTCAGTGGTTAGAGCCTTGGAGGAAGCAGATGTTGTGGCTGGACTGACTGCAGAATGGGGCTCGGCTTTAGTCAGGTCTGGGTCTCCCTGGCAGCTCCACATTGATGAACTCCCTCTGAACTCGAAGCGGAAAGTTAGGAATCTGACCACATTTGATTGATAGAAATGACAATTCCATATCATTTGGTCTGATGAGACTGCTAAAAGTAGGAAGGTATTTTTTCTGATATTTATTGCTCTGATAAATATAAATACATGTGTCTGACAAATTCACATAGAGCTCTCAGTTTTCCCTTGAATTTGTTTGTCTTTCCAAATGACTGGTTTCATAAATTGCTGATTACAAAATTTCAGGTGAAGAGAGCCTTTGAATACATATAGGCCAAATTCCCTCATTCTATATACAGAAGACGATGTTTCTATTAATAATAATAGTAATTTTCATTGGACATAGTGAATGCTTAGCACTTTATTACATGCTTTGCATAAAATATCTCCTTTAATTTTCATAAACCCCCTTGACCTAGATACTAACATTATCCACATTTTACAGCTGGAGCTAAAATCCAACATTTTTCAGCTTCACTGTTTACATTTGTAACTGCTGAACTGTAGCATTACTATCTGAAAATCCATTTAGAAAGCTTTCTAATCTTAACTTAATTTCCTAGATGAAAAAACTGAAGCCAAAAGAGGTTATGCCCTTACCCAGGTCACATTTCAATTCTGTTCGCAGCTGGGTCTAAAGTAACTTTAAATGCTAGAGCAGTTCTTCCCCATAGATGCATATTTAACTCAAAACAATTTTCTATTTTTTTAATCACATCAGAAGATACTTACACATAACTTTGTGGTTTCTATTTGTCAATTGAGGCCTTTGCATCTTACAAGTGATTTTTAAAAACAACATGACCAACAGTTTTAAATAATAAAAACAGAATTTAGTCATTCATAAAACTGTGAGGTCCAGAGGTAGGGCAGGCTTAGGTT